AAATGACTGCCAAGGTGTAGCAGCATCAATTAGGGCTTCCACTCAGCACTTTGGGGCACCTGAGACCTACCCTGAGCTCCAGACAAGGTTGGCAAACCTGGGGCCCTGCCACTCTGCCGGGCAGCCCAGAGCAGATTTCCTGAAAGCAAGGGCTGGAGCGAGGCTGACAGAGGGAGTGTGCCTCCTCCTGTCCTTGCCCCCCAGAACAGAGCATCAGCTCCTTCAGATGGAAGATCTAACCCGCTGCCAGGGAGCAGGCTCTGGGTGGACACCCTGGGTGGACGTCCCTCCGACTGCCCTGTCTCTGACACCAGGTAAATTTATGCCTGGAAAGGCTCCCGGAAGCATGCACAGAGGACTCGTGGCCCTAGGCAGGGGAGGCTGCCCAGCCTGTGGGCTTTCCAGTTTCTACAGGGAGCTCTTGGGCCCTCTCAGCACGTCACCTCCTCAGAGAAGTCTTCTCTGACCAGAGTGCTAACTGGCCCAGTCACACCTGCTGCACAATGCTCTCCAGTTTGCAGCTTCCTGGCTCTGATTGCACCTTGCAGGGGGTTAAATGCATCTGAGTGCTGCCTCACCTTCATCTCCCCATATCCCCAGAAGGGCAAGGCCCAGCACCAGGACAGGCACAGGCACAGTTGCTTGGACAAGGCCACTCCTCCCTCCCTGACCTGGGAAGCCACCTTGCTCCACCACACTTTTTCAAGGGAACACAGACAATAAGCAAGACATTGCACAAGTCAGAAGCCCAGCAGCCAGAATCACTAAGCATTAATGAAAATTCCAATGAGTGAAAAGGCAAGGGCAGCTATCTTTGCAGAGGAGGCCTTTGTCCTTTCTTCATATCCTGAGTCACCCTACAGGGACAGCTGGCAGCTGCCATCAGGAGAACCCCAGGACACCCTGAGCAGTTAATAGGATGGGCATGGGAAGGCAGAAATCTGGGGATCCCTCCTGGAAGCAGCTCTCAAATCTGCACCACCTGTGACAGATACATCCCAGTGAACTCTGAAAGCAGGCTGGAGTTCACAGGAGCTGTCACGATCCCCAGCCTGGCACCACGACAGGTCTACAGAAGCCAGCCTGTGAGGCCCCGCTGGGGAGCACAGGCCACAAAGGCTGCTTTCTGAGGAGGCTTGGAAAAGGCAAGACAAAGCCCCAGACAAGATTCAAACAGCTCAATGGCAACAGCCTGCCCGCTCCGATCGGCACCCTCCTTCACAGCACCGGAGACAGGGCCTGTTTGCACGGAGGCTTTGGCCCGCAGCATGAGGGGAGCCCCTCTGCCATACCTCCACCTTGGGACTTGGACCAGCCTCTCCACCCTGCAGAGCCTGGGCTTCGTTATAGATGTCTAACACCTGCCCCAAAGGCCACACACCCCCAAGCCAGCTCTCCAAAGATCAGGGAGGTAGAAGAACAGGGGGGGTCCAACTCAAGCAGAAACAGAAAAGGCATTTCTGATGGTGACCCTGCCAGTGAAGGAAGGTTCCATTGCTTTCTAAAATGAATCTGACTGGGCCAGGGATTTAGTTCAGTGGTTACGCACCTGCTCCATAAATACAAGGTCCTGAGTTCAGAACCCTGATACCAAAAAAAACGAAAATGAATCTTTCAAAAAAAAAAGAGGTACAATAACCTCCTTCAAAAGCTAGCTGCATTCAAAAGACAGTGGGAAAGGCCAGATGTGGTGGTGCATGCCTGTAATCCCACCACTCAAGAGACTGAAGCAGGAAGATCACCAAAAGTTCAAAGCCAGCCTGAGCTATACAGTGAGTTCAAGACCAGGCTGAACTACATTATCAAGACTCTGTCTCCAAAAACAAACAAAAAAAAGACAAGTGGGAGTAGAGTCCCTACTTACATTCAACTCTCCAGGAACTGTACTCATCAAGCACTTCACTGGGTGTTTACAGAATGCTCCCATCCTGCTAAGCCAGGTGGAAGAAATAACCAGTGGAGGCAGGATAGCCAGATGGTTAGGACCAGGGGCCCAAGTCTGCCACACTGGTGAGCCCAGCCCAACCTGGTGCCTACATAATGCCCAGTTAGCCCCAAACAATGGGAACTCCTTGACCTCACTATGGAGAGAAATTCAAGTCCAGAGTTTCATTTCTCACCTTGTTTCTGTCCATGTGCTGTGCTGGAAAAGGTGCCTCCCCCCATTCACTGGGTCTGAAATCTGGGACCAGCTCTTAGTGAGCAATTTCAGAACTTGAATGAAAAAGTTAAATGCCCACGCCCTTTGACCCAAAGCTCACCCATCCAGGGACAGGGTACTAACTACCAAGATGTCTCTATCAGCAGAAGCCAAGGCCATGGGAAGAAAAAGGCCCAATCCTTTTAAGAACTGTATGGTGCTATCATTATTTTAAAATAAACAAGACAATAATACAAGACCTTTTCTAAAGGGAACCATGATGCAGAACTTCTCTGAGACACACTATCCTCTACAGCAAGCAAGCACACAGCAGTACAGCTGAAGAGAAGCCTGCGCCCATGTGCGCCCCACAGTGGCATGAACACTCACTCGTGGGGAGAGCCAGCCAGCAACAGTCCCCTGAGTAGCTGCAAGTCAGGACCAGGAAGGGGTCAGGCTGACTTCTCGCTGCATGCTTTGAGCCCTCTGGACACTTTTTAACACATTCGTGTGTTAAATATTCACCGAGAAAGAGAGAACAAGAAATGTTAGCTAATAATAGTAATATGATTACAGATAGATGGCATTTTCAGGAAATCCAACATAAACTCTTTTCCATCTGCAGGCTTTAAAAAATATGAGAGTATCACCTTGCAGTCATGAGATTTTTCTCAGCTTCCCACTCAAAACAGGTAAGGACAGCAGTGTACCTCCAGGAGGCTGAGACTCAGGCAGGATGGGCCCCTCCTCAGCCTACCTGAGGTTCAAATCCACAAAACCCACACAGCAGCAACATGGGCAGCCAACACCCACCATAGACCTCAGGGTCACACGCCAGTGCCAACTCCAAGAGCGCCAACAGCGAAGCGGCAAGAAATGGGCGGTCAGCCAGCCAGCCAGGCCTGAGACCTAGGCGGTCTCATCAAAGACAACCTGTGTCCAGACATTGGCCCCCCCACCGCTGCTTGTCAGGGACATTCCTCAGGTGCTACTGCAAAGGACACCTAAGTCACACCTCCCAAACTGGGCAAATCCAGCCATGACAACAAATGAAAAAATACCAACCCATGGGCAATGAGATGGCATCACTTAATCCTAGAAAAGATCTCCCTCCCCCCTACCCCGCAGAATCTCATGGACAAATTCCAGCCCAGAATGTTAAGCTAATCTCAAGACAGCCCTATCTTAAAGGAAGAAATGGGGGTGGGGACGGAGCTGCTGGGAGAGTGCTTGCCCAGCCTGAGTTTGATCCCCAACACTGCACCAAAAATAAAAAGCAAGAAATGCGGGGACCGAGGGGAAGGACAGGCCCAGCAACACCCTGCTTTCCCTGGCATCCCTCCAGGGCAGTTTACTGTCGGCCCTGTGAGCGCGCAGGGATGGTCCCCATCCACTGCATCCCAACCCACTGACACCAGGCCTGGACTCTAGAAGGAGCTTGGTAAACATGAACACCAGACTCCTCCCTTCTGGGAACTGTACAAACAGGTCCCCAGTGGGAAAGGACACAGTGTAACTTGGTTCAAGATGGCTCTATGACCACATTTCCCCTGAGCTTCTCAAGGACAAGAACCTCCCACACATTCTTCTGCTGCAGAGCCTCCAGGAAACCCCTGCCTCACCTGGCCAGGAAAAGACACTTTACAAATATAGGCAGTGGCGCAAGCCTATAATCCCAGCACTGAAGCAGGAGCAATGAGTTCGAGGCCAGCCTGGGCTACATAGTGAGTACAAAGCCAGCAGTCACTGAACATGCAAGATCCTGTCTCAGAAAACCAAAAAACAAACACGTGAGGCTACAGTCTCAAGGGGAAGGGTGCAGGGCCAGGTGTTTAGCTCAGTGATACAGCCCACCTGCCTCGAAAGCATAAGGTCCTGAGTTCAATCCCCAGTACCAAAATAAAACAATCAAGAGAAGGGGTCTTGAGCTCAGGCAAATCCCTCCAACTGGCCACACAAGCCCCTTATACTTCCTAAGCCTCAGTTTCTCCATCCCTTCATCCTGACTGCTGGAAGGATGAGATCTGAAGCACCTCATTAGAAGTCAGTTATAGGGCTAGGGATTTAGCTCAGTAGTGCCGCTGCCTGCCTCGCAAGCACAAGGACCTGAATTCAATCCTTAATACAAAAAAAAAAAGTCAGTTATAATTGCAGTGCAGATGGACAGTGTTCACCTACATTTTATACCAAAGAGCTGCATGAAGCCAGATGCCTCTTTCCCCACCTTCTGCAATACAGGTCGAGCCGCAGAAAAAGAGTGGGAAGGAGAGAAAGAGCTCATGGAGAGAGGTATGGAAAACACAAAGGTAATGGGCCTGGCAGCATTCCCCAGTGGGAGCTGCAGAGAACTAAGTAATATTAAAATCACCCAATTCCTAATCCATATCTTTACTTCTCCACTCCCCGAGTCTCTTCTGGGCATTCTGTAAAAGCCACAAAAAGAGGGTACAAGGGACTCACAGTCACACCCAGGTAAAGGACAGAGGAGGTAGGAGGGGTAAATGAACTCAGCCTGTGTCTCCAGAAAGGAAAGACACAGAGGAAAAGGAACAAACAGCGCCACCGAAATCTAACTGATGCAAAGCCCTCTCTGCGGGGGGGGGAGGGGGGGGACAGAGGCCCCATCCTTTTGCACACAGGTCAGAGAAGGGTGGACCTTGTACCTGCCTAACATGGGTGGGGCACTTCCCAGGACTCAGCCACCTACTGAGGCCATCCATGGGCACTGCCCACCTTGCAGAATAGGGCATTATACTTGCTGAGGGCTCAACTCAGCCTGGCTAGGAAAGAGTCCCTAGGGACAAAACAGCAGCAGAAGAAGCCTGGGAAAGATAATGAGGGCACCCTCTGTCGGACGCACCTGGGTGGAGAGCAGGTCTCTCTGAGCCGTCTCTCAGTTTCCAGGTTGGACTCCCTGTAGAAGGTACAGGAAAAGAACAGAAGCGTGGAGCCTGCCCCCTCACACCACTTCCCTACCTGTAAAACAAGGGCTGGGCAAAGGATCTCTTCCTGTCTAGATAAGTGTTTTTGTTTTTGGTTTTAGTTTTGGTTTTTGTTTGTTTGGTACAGGGGGTCAACGGAGGAGGGGTGCTTGTGCTTTTGAGACAGGGTGTAGCACCACTGAGCTAAATCGCTTTTGTTTTTTGGGGGTTTTTTAATTTTGTTTTTTTGTACCAGGGATCGAACTCAGGCCCTTGTGCTTGCAAGGCAGGCAGCAGAACCACTGAGCCAGATCCCAGCCCTCTTGTTTTGTTTCTGAGATGGGAGTTTTGACATATCTTTCAGACTGGCCTGAAACTCATGGTAATCCTCCTGCCTCAGCTCCCCAAGTCCTAGGAATACAGACATACACCACCACGCCTGGCTCTAGATAAGTTTTACAGGGCATGACATTCAACTGAACAAGTCATCCCAGTCCAGCCAAGCACCGACACTGCCCTGAACATTCAGAGCAGAGCCTCAAGTTGTCTCCAATGTGCCTGGGCTTTGTCACAGGGAAATTCACAGACAATTCATCACCTATCAATATAGTAGTGGTGGTGCACGCCCATGATCCCAGCACTTGGGGGGCTGAGGCAGGAGGACTGAGGCCAGCCAGGGCTACACAGTGAGTTCAGAGCCAGCCAGAAGTACAAAGGGAAACCCTGCCTCAAAAAACTAAAAATAATAATAATAAATGTTTAAAAATATATAGCAGTGTTGTACCCGTGGACTCTGAATGTCTAAGATATGATAACGTCCATCCACATCTCTTGGCCCACTAAAACCTCAGGGGTATTCACACCAAACAAAATCCAGCCATAAAGCCCAGGTCACCATGTCAACAGTTGGAGCACTTTGCAGCTGGTATACAAACACAGCCACCAGGGGGCACTGCCCTGGAAATAATAAAGAAGCAACAGAAAATTTCTTTGGTGTTTTCCTTAAATTTAAGTAACAAAACATCTAAAGCTTCCCTAATGAAAACATAAAGTGGGGTTCCTGGGGGTCTAGAACAGCCCACAGCCTTCTGCCTTCTCTTTGGAGTCAGTATTTGGACAAAGGAAGATAACTAGACCTTAAAGTAACCCCTCCCAAAGAAAAGTCTCCCCTCCATTTCCCCCAGAAGGGTTACACAAGGGGTGCCCTGAAGCTCCCACCTCTTTAAAGGTAAGGTGTTAATGAGATGGGCAAGGCGACTGCAGTCCTGCAGGAGGGCCCCAGGCTGCCCTGTTTTTCAAGCCTGCTACTCACCCAGACAGACACAGAATGACACACAGCTCTCAGTAGAAAAGGTCCAAGAGATTAATTGGGATTTCCCAAGTCTTACTTGACCACAGGGGAAGCTCCAGGGCCCTAACATCAGAACTGGACTTTGAGAACGGCCATAAGAAGATTCTACGAATTTCTCCAGGGTCCAGGGCGCCCTTTCCATAGCGCCTGTGTCTGTGGTGCCGTGTTCAAGCATCCTTCCTTAATGCTCCTAAAGCCCTAGGCCCCATTTTCACAGCTCTGGCTGAGTTCCTCCTGATTCCCTTGAGTGTGCCTCGGGATACTCTGCACGCCCTGCAGACCAGGAAGAGCCTGCTGGCTCCTAGAGAAGCCTGTCTAGGAGGAGGGAGCCCAACCCACCCAGAACCACGTGTGTCCCTCTGGCTGCAGTGGGCAGACTTTGCGTGGGGCTTGCATGGGGCAGAGGAACATCAGCAGGCAGCTATGTGGGGTACAGGGGTGCTGCCAGGCCTGCCTTCCTGTGCCAACTTAGTCCTGGCCTCTTGCACCAATAGATAAAGAAATCCAACCAGTCAAGTCTCCAAGATGTGCAGGGACCCATCAGGCGTGAAAATGCAAGTTGAGCCCATTTTCAAAAACCAAATCTACTAAGTGGAGTCACTGCATAACAAAAGGTTTCCACTTGGAGTTGGCAAAAAGCTCAGGAAAGCGGATTCCATTAGGCTCTCAGGGCAAAGGAGACTTAAGTAACAGCTTTCCAGGGGCAAGGCCACAGTCACAGACCAAGGCAAGCCATACCTGAGCCAACACTTGGCACTCCTGTAATGTATTATAAATGTGATCTATTAAACCCCCGTCTCCACCACAGAGCTCCCGGGTGCAAGGGGGCACCAAGCCCAGGTGGCTGGAAGGCCATTCTACTCTAGCACCTGCAAGTCACCAGCGACCCCCAGCCCTGGGACCCCAGGTAAGATATCCCACCTCTCAGACACGTGGCCCAGAATCACCACATTAGCCAAGGCTTAAGGCTGCTGGAGGCTCTAATGAGACAGCAAATCACCAAGCCAAGTGTTGCTGATCCCTTCAGGTGGGCTCAACTGTGTGATATGCAATGACAGCGCCAGGACACAAGCACACGCGGGGCACACAGTAGGTGGTGCACAAACGCTAGTGCCCTTCTCCGCTAAGGGGAAAGAGACTAAGGAAGGAACACGCCGGTCCAAAAGTACATTCAAGCCCCGGGTGACAGCGTGGACTCCCCAGGTCCCTTCGCCAACCTCCAGCAGAGGTTCCAGCGCGCCCTGGGCGGCTGGGGCCCTCCGGGCCGGGACACAGTGCACCTGAGAGCCCCGATCCGAACCCATCGCCCCTACTGGCCACCGCTACCCGCGGACACTGCCCCCGGCCCCTCGGCCACCTGGTTCCTCGGACCCAGCCTCCCAGCGCTCCGCTCCTTCCC